TCTAACACTAACCCAAATTCCTTGAAAATAGAAAAGACACAAAAACCTGAACCTGGTGTACTCTAAGTTCTCAGCTGATTATGAACCACAGCAAGAACACATGGGAAGAAGGTGATATTTAGTTGTGCAAAAGCACTCCAGTAGTTTCATATAAATGATTGATCGTACATGAAGTCTATACAAGACCTTCAATGAGCATCTCCACATGAAAGGTCCAAGCATGGTAAGTTCCTCAGTGACTATGGTACACAATCAGGTATGAGAAACAATGAAATATGCTTGATAACTATATACTGATAAAAAGCAATATGTATAAGTATTTTTCACTTACTGAAATATTGTAACAAAGTCTATTATCCAGAAATCAATTACCCAGAACTCTGTAACATCCAACACAAATGTATGCATATTATAGGGTCAGCTCTAAAGAACATAAAGCACTCAAGTGTTTCTAAGGGATAGGAAGATTAAAATAGTATACATTTGATTTTAATTTATTTTATTTTGAAAGAGATAATCTCTGCCTAGTATATATGGTAACTTTCTGCTAACAAGAATATCTGATTAGCCAAAACATGAAAATACATTAAGACTGGATAAAACAAACAAAACCTTTGATTTATATAAAAATACAAATTTTTAGATATTTCCTTTAGCTCATATCAGGTATAGTTATTTCTTTAATATGACAGACCATAAATTTGTTTGGAAAAAATTTTAACTGTAGTCAAGGCGTAAAAATGGGCCCCAAATCTCTACTGTTGTAAGAGATGACTGACTGAGACTAAATGGTTAACCCTTGAACAACCAGGGGATAGGCATGTCAACCCACACACAGTAGGAAATCTGCATATAACATCTGACCCAGAAAACTTGACTAATAGGCTGTTGTTGACCTTTGAACAACATGAGTTTCAACTGTGCAGATGCACTTACATGCAGACTTTGTCTCAATAAATATATTGGAAAGTGTTTTGGAGATTTTGACAATTTGTTTACATTTCTCTCCATTGCAAATGGTGGTAATTATGGTCTTTAAGTGTGTGCATGAGGTTTGGTAAGTTTTAACTTTTTATAATAGATTTGTATATGTTTTATGGTAGTAAATGACATAACAGACTAATACTACATAATATTTTATACATTTGGACATACCTTTTTCTTAATTTTTTCAATATTTCCAGTTACTCATTCATCTGAGAGTTTTTTCAAATTGTTGCAAACCTTCAAAATTTTTCCCAAAGTTTTTACTGAAAGAAATCCATATATAAGGACCTGTGCTGTTCAAATTCAGTCAACTGTACTCACAAGTGGTCTCTATCTTCCCATTTGCCAAGACCATGGTACCTGATGTGATAAAAGTATGTCTTCCTTTTAAATAAGAGCATTTATCTTCCTTTTTAAAAAAATCATGACACGAATTTTCCCTAATCTAAACTGACCATTTCTTAAATTATTCTAAATTTTATTAAGGCTTCATATTCTGCTGGTTTAACCAATCTCACATAGGCAATACTTCTCAGCAAGGCTTCACACTGAAATCACCCGGAGATCTATTTTTTTAATGTACTATTTCAGCTTCACCTCAGTCCTACTTAATCAGAATTTCTAGGGGTTGAGCCTAGGCATATGTATTTTTAAAACTCTACAGGTAATTCTGATGTGTTCCCCTATTTAAGTAGGTATCACTGTTTCTAGAAGGTATCAATTTGACAAAGGCCCACAACAAGATAAGCTAGTATATTAATAAGATCATAACCCAAACACTATTCAGTAACAGTAATGATGGAAAATCCTAAAATTAAAAAATTCTTGGGAGGTTAGTACCTGTTCTGATTTATTGTAATCCAAACATTCTCTAGGATGGACCAGATTTCTTGATGCCTGTTGGGTTGGGGAAGATGAGAACCTGAGAAAATGGTGATTTCTTGGCTATTAGACTTCATCGAAGAAATATCTTCTTGCTTTTTACCCACTGTATTTTCTGAAGGATTTTGTTTAAGTTTTGCCTTGACCTGGGGAAATAAGAATTACATAAAATGTAGCTAGTCCTTCACTAGTAAGTGAGACAGAATGTCAATTGTGCTTACAAATATTCTAGCTTTCTGGGAAGTGTTGACTATTCTTTGTTCTTGACTATGTATAGAAGAATCCCAGAAAAGCATCAGAGCTAGAAAATATATTTTCCTTTTCCTTTTATATCAAACAAAATTCCCAATCTATTTAAGAATACTGTTTGAACACTTCTTACACATACGGTATTGCACTGCATACAGGATACCTAGGATACAATGATACATAAGTATAATCAAGCCTCCAAACACTTTACAATCCAGTAAAAAGAATGAGATTGCAAAGGGCTTTAAAAAGAGAAATTAGGATAGAATGTAAGCCCTATTCTACATGCAATGGTGAAGCACCGAGGATTTCTAAGTTAGGAAGTGACAGACTCAGAACTGCTCTCTAGGACAAACTGGAACGGAACAAAATAGAGGCAAGAAGACTGGTTAGAGGGCTGCTAAAATAATCCAGGAGAAGAATCCTGAGAACTTTATTATGTAGTAAAAAGCAGCAGAAGAAAAAGAAAAAGAAAAATGTACACAAGAAATGTTTAAAAGACTTAGCCAAAAACTAGATTCAGGGAGTGAGAGAAACGCTAAGATGTTTTTAACCTAAAATAATAATGGTACAAACAACAGAAACCTAGGGCATCCATCAAGTCTAGAAATGTGTGTTTGTGTGTTTTAAACAGATCAAGCCCCCTTGATTGCTTCTCCTAAAGAATATAAACACACAGTTTTATTCATCAAAAGTCAAAGCCATAAACACTTTGAAGCAATACATCTCAGACACATGTGCATGAATTTATGGAAATGGTATTTCAATGTACCACATTCATTACAATTTTAAACAGCACAATATTCTATAAATTGCTGATGAAGGACAACACACTGAACATATCACATATTATACTGTAATAGCAATAAACCATTTCATGTGTATTTATCTATGTTTCCAGATTTTATGGCCTTTTGTAGTAAAGCCAAGAAGAAAGTCTGGTTGCGGATAAGGAAAAGAGGGGAACAGAATATAAGTTTGTTTTTAGATATGCTGACTGAGGTAGAAAAAGATATTTAAGATATCTAGCAGGTATTAGATACACACATCTGTAGCTTAAAAGATAGTTAGGAGTCACTCTTGTGGAGACAAACCTTAGAAGCAGATGAGACTATTAGGATAGAATACAGCAAAAAAGTTTAGACTGAAGGAGAAAGGAACTACCAGAAAGAAAATGAGACCAAGAAAATAGTGGGAGAATCCATAGTATTCAATAGCAACAGAAGTCAAGAGAGACAGGTTTCAGGAAAAAAAGGGTGGCTATCATATGCTAAGAAAAGCTGAGAAAGTAGAAGAGTGAGAAAAGAGTGGATTTAATCATTAGGAAGCAAATGATAACTAATTCTTTTAATAATGTGGAGGTAGAATTCAACTTGCAATGGACTAAGGAATAGGTTAAGTGAAAAACAATGATTATAGACTGCTCTTTTAAGAAATTTGGCAGTTGATGGAAGGAGACAGTACAGTAAATAGCATGACTAGTGAAAAATATTCTGAGCATATTTTAAATATATGGTCAGAAATATATCTGAGCATATTTTGAAGCAGAGTGTAAGAGCTATATCTATGGATTCAAGGGATTTTTTTAAAAATATCACTTCTAGAAAAAACATTAACAAATGAAAAAGACATCTGGATAGAATGGAAAAAAATTTAACTATGAGTTTAAAATCTCAGGTTTTTTGCCTTGGCTCTACTGTAATTCTTTGGGAACTTAAATAAAATCACTCCATTTCTCTAGGTTTCCTTGTTGATAAAACTATGATTTCAAACGTTAGCTTCATGGATTATTAGTTTCATGCTTGCCACATAAAAAAATTGCCAGTACTATCAGTAGTAACATTTAATATTTGTTAAGCATGTTATGTAGAGAAACTTTCTATAGACTTCATATCTATTAGCTCTTAACCCTCACAACTCTCCTATGAAACAGATGCTAAGATTATCCATATTTTATAACTGAGGCATAGAAAGAGCAAGTACACTCCTGGGGCATGAAGAGGACATGACCTTTGGCAATCTGACTACAAATGAGGTTATGATCTCTAACTGTGAAAGTAAATATTACCCTTTCCTTTCATTGGGACATGAAGAAAAAGGAAATCATTCCTCTGTTTCTATTTACTTTCATATGTACCTAATACATACACATGGATGGAAGGACATATTTTGTTCTGAGATAAATTTTTTCAGTCACCACATAACACATCTTTCCTTCAGCTTTCAAAAAGTAGTGTATACAACTATGCAAACTGATTTCTTTATCCAACACTTTCATAGCACTTACTATGTTCTAGCCAGTAAGCGCTTTACGGATATTAATTTATTTAATCCTCAGGAGAGTTTTGAGGGATTATTATACTCATTTTACCAAAGAAGGAATTAAGGCTCAGAGACGTTAAATTACCAAAGGTTAAAAACAAAACTCGTCAAGGATGAGGATCCAGAACCATATAAGTCTAAAGAAAGTTTACTAACAAGACTGATTTTAATTATTTTATCAACCTGGTAGAGCAAGTCTTATTTTTTTGTTGGTTGGAAGGTTTATAAAGAAAAATGTATATATCCTTTTCTTGCTCTCATCCCATTAATATAAAAATCTGGGAAATGATACTGTTAGTTAATTTTCCATTTTGGCTTCTCACAAGCCTTTTCAAAAGCAAACAAATAATGAATATTCCTCTTTTCCTGGTTTTCTACACTTGGTAAATTAAGATTAAGGTTTGGGTTTTTTTTGTTTTTTTTACAGTTACTATAGTTATAAGATACCCAGCCCTGGAAACAATCTATTTCTTTATGGTACTCAAGTTACTGAGACATGACTAAGTATTTAGGTCGTATATTAAATCTCATGCATTCTACAAAGCAACTCCTATTGAAAGTATATTTTATTTTTTTTAAGGTAATAGATGTTTATGAAAGTATATTTTAAAAGCCCAAACTAAATAACAATGTTCCTGGGTGACTCAGACAATGATTGTTTCTGACATGGAAATAAAGATACGACACTTCGCTCAGAGTTCTAGTTGTGGAAATAACACAGGCTGCTTCAGGCAATCCCACTAAATGCTAAGTGTTGAGGGGAAAGCACTGGCAGGCATGTTCGTTTTCCTCACCACTGCCTTTAAATCTTTTGCTAATGTAGCAACTGGAAAATCAGGACCCAGGAATAAATAACTTACTAAATAAAAATTCAATAGTCTTCAATACTCAGTAGGCAACATATAATAGCCATGCCACTACTGACGAACGACGCTAAACTTTAACATCACATTTTCATGGCCCCTCCCATGGTCTAGGTTTCCAATTGATGAAAGGATCTTAAAACTTCACATTATTATTTTTATCTCAATTAATCCTGGGTTTTTTATTCTCAATAATCTTAATTTAAAGACTGCTAAGCCTGTGAGTACTCTGAATGTCCCATATTATTCACTATGTTTGTTTCACTGAAGATGGGGTTTAGGACACAGGTTTGTGGTGGGAATGGCATTATTCCCTCAGATAATCTCTGATGCAAGTAAATTCTTTCTTAACCAACTATGACTAAGTTTAGTATCATTTAATCCTTTCATTATTTCACAGGTAGTGGGGTCTATGAGACCATGAAAACACAGTGAGAAAAATCTAGCCAATTCAATAGCTCGAGCTCAGAGAAAAAACAGGAATATGATATACATGCATTAGATGAAAGTACCATTAGTACCTTATTTGGTAATTATGATACAGTTTTTTCAGTTGTTTCTGGCATATTAAACTCCCAGAATTTTCTAAATTTGAAATTAGAAGACTGTAGAAATTGAGTTTTACCAGGGACAAAACTTAATAGTTAATTTAAAAGGTATAAAAAGGCATTACTGCTAGGCTGACTGAATAAGAATCACATTAGAAACCTTGTTAAAAAATTGATAGGTCATTTGGTGAAGTCTGACTAATGACTACAGGTTAGATAATTGTGTTATACCAATATTAATTTCCTGATTACCAGTTACATGAGATAGCCTGTTCTTTAGAAAACATACACGGAAGTATTTAGGGGTTAAGGGGCATGTTGCATATCTGTACCATACTCTTAGATGGTTCAAAAAATGTGAATAGATAAGTAGATAAGCAGAGAAAACAATAAAGCAATGTGATAAATGTGATAAAATGTTAACAGTGGACAATCTGAGTAGAAGATGTATATGGGAATACTTTGTACTACTTGTGCAACTTTTTGTAAGTTTGGAATTTCAAAATAAAAAGTAAAAGCAGAACATTACTGGACACCACTGCCAGAAATATGATTCAGTAAGGTTTGAAAGGGGCTTGGCATCTGCATGTTTAATAAAATTTCCAAAGTAGTTTGATTCATGTTGTGATGTACACGTCAGGAGCACTGGAAAATGAGTAGCCAAACAATGCATATCTTTCTTGTATTCATAAGTGAAATAACAACACACTGCTATGACACGACTTCCATAAGAGGAGCTGTGTTTTACAACTTGTAACAAGAATTGCTTACTCTCCATTCAATTCACTTAATATTCACTTAAAGCCTTAGTATGTTAGAATATGTTACAATTAAAATATCCCTTACCTACTGTTGCCTGCTAACTTAAAACATCTGTGCTTAGCTACTCTAAATGTCATTCTAAAGGTATCTTACCTCTGTAAATGTTTGGAGTAGTTTGTTTACTTGAGCAAAGGCCTGTGGGAGAATACCATCATAATCTGACCTTGTACTGAAAGCATGTAACAAATTTTTAGAATCCTGAAGCAGAAATTGCACTGTTGTAAAATCCACTGCATTGTTAGCTGGTAACAGAAAATTAAGAAGGAAAAAAATATGTGTGAAAATGAGTATACAATACAAAAATGTCTTTGGAAAACCAACCTATCTTAATTGTGAAATTTAAGAAGAGTGCATATTTACACCTACATGCCACTCCTGATCTATCTATCTGGTGTGAAAAGCATAAAACAGATTTAGTTAACAGACTAAATTATTAGAGTTGATACTGGTATTCTTTATTCAGATTCCAGGAGTTTCCTCAACATGGTCGACTTAAAAGTAAAGTGAAAGAATATTATACTATTCAGAAAAGGGAGACAATCACAAACAAGTTAAACAACAGATTTTCAAAACTGAGGCTGTCCCACACACAGATTACTATGGAGGCATCAGAAGAGTCCTATTTTGGTGGTGGGCATACATGGTACCTCTCACAGTCAACTAAGTTATCATGTAACGATTTACTTAGAATTCTATTATATGAAATGTAATACTAGATTTGTTGAAAATAGTGTGTTCTCTGTGCACAACTTCAGCAAAAAATAAACAACTTGGGTAATAGTGAGCTGTGGGCAAGAGAAGCTAGCAGAATTTCTTTTCCCCATAAATTAGCAAAGTGAGTTTATCTACAAGTAATAATTTAAAGGTGTAACAATTTTCTCTCAAAAAACTAAAACTAAATTTTCAAACCAATTAGAAGAGGTAGTGACAATAACTTCAAAGATTTTAAAGACTGCAAACAATGAAGTTAAGTAACTTCCTAATGTCACCAAAACTCTGAGCACAGAAAAAAAATTCCTTACATTTTTAAGGTAAAATGCTAAATAACAGTTTTTGAAGCTATTTAAAATGACCATGCTGCAGTGTATTTCTTTTGTTTTCTTTCAATGTTCCTGGTTTCAGAGACTTACAACAGTCTGAAACACCAGTATGGTTTTTCACTGGCACTGAGTTAAAAAAAAAAGTAAGAGTTCTCTATTACACAGTAAGTATTTGCTTGTAAATACTGAAAAGTCAAATGAAAATAAAATGTGTATTTTAGTAATTAACAATATTCATAAATTCTAATTAATATACGATAGTTACAACCAAGCTTCTGACTTTCCCTTTACCAAACAAGAAAATGCCAGTGTATTTCCTTACAAAATACTTTTAGTTACTTTTAAAGTCAGTGACCAGTTTAAATTCCTGTGGGAAGAGAACTGAGATTCTACACATAGGACAGCATGTAGCTTTGATTACCCTCGTAAATCTGAGGAGGAGAAATTGTGCACAACCTCTTTTAAGGGTGCTTCTCCAATGTAAGGCTTATATCCTTGAATTAATCTATTGTTTTCTGTCTTACAAAAATTCTTTACTAAGATTATGAGTGAAAGGGAAATAACAATGATAAAATCAGTACCCAGATACAACATAAAAAGAAATCTACATGGTTCAGAGAGTTTAATGCTTATATATAGTCCATGATTATTTAGATTAAAGTTAGTATGAATAACAAGCTACTAGTCAATTTTCCACACAATTTTCTCTGAACTGATCCGAGGATACATTTGGTATACATGTTAACTGTATGTATAATTCAACAGTTGAGGGTACTATTAAAAGACAGTAAACAAAATCATGAACTGATTTTTGTAATTCAAAATTATTTTATAGCAGAAGGCACTTTTATAATTCTATTACATATTCTTCACAAATCAGTAAAGATTAGGCATCAGATTCTTTTAGATCAAGGATCAGTAAACTATGCACATGATTCCACAAATGGTTTTTTAGCAGAAGGAACAGTCACCATCCCTCCACTTTTCTTTATTGCCAATTAGAGCTGTTGCCTACTACCTCTAAGCTGCGTGCAAAACAGTACTGCCCACCCTTAGAAAAATCAATGATTGGGAGAGGCCAACTATATGCACCATTTTTTAAACTAAATTTGTTCAAGATCATACATATGGACTTTCTTTTTTGATAGAAGCAACTAAATAATGACCCTAGAAAAAGATACAAAAAATGCTTCTATGTATCTTATAAAACTGCTTGAAGACATGTCCAATATGTTGTTCCATGTCCCTTATATAACAATATCTCAAATAAATAACTTCTATACTTAAAGACTACATATATAGTTAATGCCTGGAAAGTGTCTTTATTTTAAAAATTGTAACTGGTAAAAATAGATATTCATGCAACATCTGCCATGTATAAGTCACAAGGCACTGACCAGACACTTTAAATCCACTAGGGGAATTTTAAAGATCTAAAACATTTTCAGAGAGTTTACACTTCAGGGGAAAGATAGAGAGAAGTGGTATACCTAACACAGAATACATGTTTACTTTTGTTATGCTTTAGCTTCTAGGAAGCTTAGTGTTAAAATATATGTTCAGTGTTGCAATAATTGTTTAACAGCATGTTTAACAGTAAAACTATCTTTCTTATTCCTCATTGCCTGGTTCTTGTGCCTCTAAACCTAACTTAAACCCTCTTGTATTTAGGTTGTTATTTAATGGCCCTCCTAAACTCATAGTTATTTTTAAAAGGAGGATATAACTAATTCACACAATAAAAACAGAACAGATCACTTCGTGTTAGAAGTTCAAAAAAAGTCAAAAACAACTAACACTGGTATATATATATAAGGTATAACCAACATTCTAATAGTGGTTATACTTCGCTTTTAAAAAGCATAGCAAGACAAATCTATCTGTTTGACTTTGGACAAATCACTGACCCTCTCAGGGACAGTTTCCTTGATAGACTTCAGTAATATTAAATCAGTGGTTTTGCCATCTTTTCCTTAAATTTTAAAAAATCCTATATGGAATTTCCATATATAAACAGATAAAAGAAAAATGCATGACTCAACTTGGAGTTGAGATCCATTTACTTGGCTTCCTGTCAACATTTCCACCTCTAACCTGTGGCAGTTCTGGAGGTACTTCAAGAAGGTTCTGTGAAACACAGGTTAAAAAACACCACCCAAGTTGTTGACTATAGTCTCTTCTGGTTATAAAATAGGTTCCCTATTCCTTATCCATATATTTCAGATAGAAACCTTGATACACTATTTTTAAAATTAGCACATGAAATGTGTTCAAAGTTTTTTTTTGAGTTAAACACAATGAGTTTTTTCATTTGAAAAAACCTAAATTTTATTTGCAATCTGAAGAAACTGAAATATGGTTTAAAAAGTTTTTAAACTTTATTAAAAATTATATATTCACTATATCGAAGAACATCAACAATGGTGCCATTAATAGTCACAATCTGCATGAATTACATTCAGTCACCCAGCCGCCTCAAATTCTCTTTATAAATGATTAAGAATTAACAAATTTGTCATTAATTTATCTTAAATGGAATTAATTTATATTCAATGGAATATATCTATTAGGATAACTTTAATATAACACTGCTAAAGACAAAATAAAAGATTCATACCTTTACAGAGATTTTCATTTAGACTCTCAATGGTTAAAAGCAAATTCTTTTCCATTACTAGTCCAAATACAGCCAACCAATGTTTTCTAAAGCATCGTAACAAATGCATTAGAGTCCATGGTGGTTTCAAGTACAGCATCTAAAAAGTGTGTAGAAAAAATCAGCATCTATTTATTTATTATCCTATTATTGAAAGTCCCTACTTAGGAATTACTACATTTATTCTGGGCAAAATGTATTTAGTTGGATTGTTTTTAAACTAAAAGGTGCTTCATGAAAAGCCAATCATAAAATTAAAATGCTAATTCCAGTGCAAATCACTTTTGTAAAATTCATATTAGTATTAATCCTCGTAGTTTAGAAATTGTATGTGTTTTAATCAGAAGAGCATAGTTTTCAACAGCAAAAGTAACCAATCTACTTTTTTTTTTTTTTTTTCTGTAATACTAAAAACTTCAGGGTTTTATTCATGAGCATAAATATGTACGTTTTTTACATGTGACTGTTGTATTCCAAGTCATCTCACTAAAGATGAGCAGAACTACTCAGCAGTGATCCTCTGACCTGTTCAATTTGACTTCTAAAGTCCTGTAAATCCTCCACAAAGCATCTGGGGGGAAAAAATGACCAGTCTACTTTTCAATATGATCATTTCCAGGAAGTAATCAATCTAATTATGTCAAATAACTTGGGGAAAAGATCTATATAGAAAAAAGTTGTCAATGATAATTGACATTTGCGACACTCTTGCAAAGACATGTTTATGAAGAAGATTGATCATACAGTACTACAAGATGTCAACATCCTTTTTTGAATAATAGATACACTTTCCTAGACCCTATTATAAATGTCCATTTTAAGTCAACCCTTCTAGAATCATAAACACTGGATAATATAATCAAGCAGCAAACATACAATACTGGCAAATACTGGAATCTCACTGAATATCTGGAATAGGTACAATCTGTAACTGATGGGGAACGTTTCTCACAGTTGTAAATATGAATAGCAAAAGAACATTAAACTAAAAAGGCCACTATTGCCAAATGTGGTATTTTACTGATTGCAGAAAGGATGTGAATCTAGAAAATTCAAAATATCTTCTAGTATAATCAAATTTATACTCTGATTCTCAAATTTACATGACATAAGCCACAATATACACTTCTTTTTCTGAATACATATTACTAGGGGAATGCCCTACACCTGACATCTTGACTCAAATAAACTAAATACAACACTAATTTTTCTTAATTTAAGCTTCATTGGCGGCAAATGTGTCTAACAGTAGATGCACAATAAATATTTGTTCAATGGAAAAAATGAATAATATAGTCCTAATCTTTAGGAAATGCCATTAATTTTCAAAATGTTATTTTAAAAATTTCAAGAAAAAATATGTGATATGGATTCTTACAACAAAGCTTACACATTTTATACAAATAATATTTCTCAAAATAAGGTAGCAAATCTTTAGCAATAAAAAAGAATTTTTCAACTAACAGAACTGAAATAGTCACCTCTATCCAGAGGTTTCCAAAAGCAATTTTCATTTCTGTTTCTAATATTGAAGATAAAGCTGTTCCAAGAGATTTTTCAAGATCAGATATGATGCTTTCAAGTAGAATGGGTAGTCCAGAATTTGTAGATTCTTTCTTACAGCTCTTTTCCAGAGTTGTTGCTTCTTTAAAACAAATAGTTAGAGGCTTTTTTTAGCACACTAATAAATATTTTATGACAAATATTTTATGTATATAATTAGTACTTGAATTACCTAGAAAACAAACCAACACTTTATTTTTAAAACAGTATTTAGAAACATGTATCTCTAGTATAGTTGTTTTAGATGCAATATAAAATGTATTACATTAGTAAATGTTTTATCTTTTTGACAAAAGGCAACTACTTTTAGTAAAACAGAAATTGGAGAACTGTGTGTGATATTCTAACCAAATTTTGCTATTTTTGAAAAAAGGAACAGTTAGAATAATGCTTTACATCTATTCGTAATAAAAAATTAAGAATTAAGAATCAAAATATGCTTTCTTTCAAAAACAGTATATTCTTCCAATTGCAGTTCACATTAATAAATTGTTTTGAAAGGACCAAAATCTCTGGCTTAACTACTTCTATGCTCTCCACTTTTAAAATGAGCATTTATTACTCTAATTGATGCCATTCATTAACAGTACTATTTTGAAATCTGACAACAACTGCAATTTCTTTATGGAAAAATTCAAAATGTTAAGTGGCATATCTTTACAAGCTAAGGATTTAAAATGACAGTAATAAAATGGACAAACTGAGAGCATGTTACCTATGAAAAATCATAAACTAGACTGTCCTATTATTCCTTCAAAATACCTTTTTGAATATTAGGACAAAAGAAATTTTATTACCAAAAATGTCAAATAAGTAGCATATGTATAATAAGTTTTTATATAATTATATATTAAAAGTACATATGATATTAAAGACTTCAATAATTACTTCCCCCATGGAGAAAGTGGTATATATTTTTAAATTATGTCATCAAACACCAAGCTAAAGAACAGACTGTTGTGATGAAAAAAGATAAAACAACAATATTGCCTTAAGCTTCCTTAAGTATTAGTCTAGAACTTTTCAAACTAAAGTCCTCTGATTATGATTAGAGTCCTTCAAGTTTCTCTATTGTTGAATATTTACTGTATTAATAGATTATTAATATAAACTTATTTTTTAAAAAACACTAAAAAATTCTCTCCATCTCAAAGGAATACTTGCTGCAGTCATAATGCTTTTACCTAATGTCAAGGACACAGAGAAATAGGAACCCTCCTACTCTGTTGGTGGAACTGCAAATTGGTGTAACCACTGTGGAAAACAGTGTGGAGCTTCCTCAAAAAATTAAAATTAGAGGTACTATTTGACCCAGTAATTCCACTCCTAGGTTTTTACCCAAAGAAAACAAAATCTCTGATTCAAAAAGATATATGCACCCCTATGTTAATCACCACACTTTTTGCAATAGCCAAGATATGGAAGCAACCTAAGTGTCCATCAATAGATGAATGAATAAAGATGTGGTACATATGCACACATGTGGTACATAATACGGAACATTATTCAGCCATAAAAAGAAAAGAAATCCTGCCATTTGCAAGAACATGAATGGATCTAGAGGGTATTTTGCTCAGTGAAATAAGCCAGGTAGAGAAAGACAAATATATTTATCATACACTTATTGGTGGAATATAAAAACAAAACAAAACAGAAGGAACAAAACAGCATTAGACTCATAGACACTGAGAAATGACTAGCGGTTACCAAGGAGGAGGAGAGTAGGATGGGGTGCAGGGGAGGGGAAGGGGACCAGTGAACCGCTGTGACGTACTTTTGATAATAAAAAATAAATAAATAAGGGCATACTCTGTGAGGTACAAAATAGCATGCACATATAACTATAAATATGTAAAAATGTATGTGAGCATACAAAAATTCAAATTAACTTACAAAAATATATGTAGAAGACAGTAATGTTAATTATGTTTTCTTTTGAATTAACCGTTATAATTTTTATTTATCTCTATTATCTACAGGCCAGCAAATATTGCAAACAATGTTATTTTAAACAGACAAGATTAAAGTTTATTATTAATTGTAATACTTATTAAAAATCTTAGAACATAAAATAAGATATATTTTTAATTATTCATAGTAAGAATACTACCTGCTGTCAATTGCTGCATAGATACACAAGGCTGAGGACATACACTGGTGTTCAGAGGTAAATTTAATAACTCTGCACTCAATTCTTCTTTACTGAGTGACTTCACACCACTTATTAGGCCTTTGTTTCTTAAATTTCTATCATCCCTAAGGTTGGGGTTAGGAGGAAAAATTATTTATTTTTTATAAGATATATCACAACTCCAAACATACAGGATCTTATCAGAAGTTGGTGCTCCTCAGCATATATATTAATAAAGGATAACAATTTTTTTAAAATAGAGAAGATAAATGAATTAACATACACCACATCATATGAGCTTTTGAAAGTAATAATAGTTATTATATACAGAGTGTTTTCCTGATATCAGACACTGTTTACAGCACTTACACATATATCAACCCATTAATTATCACAACAAACCTCTTAGGAGTGACACTAATTTTAGAATACTAATGTATCTCTGGTATAGTTTTTTTAGATGAGAAACTGAGGTGTAAAGATGAGTCACTGAAGTGTAAAGAGATTAAGTAACTTGCCCAAAATTATACTGGTAAGCGGAAGCTGCATCTGAACACAGGAATATGATCATCCAAAGAGAAGTAAACATAGACAGCCATAGTAAGAGAAATAATTTACACAGAACAGGTAATTACAAATTTACTCAGAGTGGACATAATTAGACAATTAGCATGAATTTGCTATTTGTTGAAAGTAGCCAGTAGGATTAAAGAATAGTGATGAGACCAGATCAAATGGTGCCATAAACAATAAACACAAGAAAAGACAAAAAAAAATGAAGAACAAATGAAACAAACAAAATAATTTTAAAATGGTAGATCAATGAATTAAATGTGAATGGTACAAACTTCTCAATTAAAAAGGCAGACATTGTCAGACTGGACAAACAAGAAAGTATCAACTCTATGGTATCCACAAAATACTGACTTTAAAATAAAGACACAGATAGGCTAAAAGTAGATGGATGGAAAAAGACATACCACTTAAATATTAACCAAAACAAATCTGAAATAGTAATATTAACACTAAACAAAGAAGACTTCAGAACAAGGAATATTATCTGGAACAAAGAGAGACATTACATAATGAGAAAGGGGTCAGTTCTCCAAGAAGACAATCTTAAATGTGTATGCATCTTACTAGAGAAGTTCATAATAATGAAGTAAAACAAATAAACTGAAAGGAAAAGAAAACAAATTGATAATTACAGTTGGAGATTACAATACTCCTCTCTCAGTAATCACAGAATAAATAAACTAATAATCAGTAAGGTTATGAAGACCTGAACAACACTATTCACTGACTTGACCTAATTGAAACTTATAGAATACCCCACTCACAGAAGCAGAACACATATTATTTCAAGTGCACATAAAATATTCACCAAGGTAGACCATATTCTTAGTCACAAAACAAACTTTAACAATTTCAAAGAAGAGAAATCACAAAATTATGTTTTCAAGCTATAACAGAATATAAATGTAAATCAACAACAAAAAGGTAACTGGAATATTTGCAAATATTTGGAATTAAGCAACCAACATGTAAATAACTGATAGCTCAAAGAGAAAGTCATGAGGGGAATTATAAAGTATATTGAATTGGATGAAAATAAAAATACAACATATCAAAATTTGTGGGATGCAATTAAAGCAGTGCTTTCAGGGAAATTTACAGTAGTCTCACGTGACTGATCTGAGCTTCCACATTAAGAAACTAGAAAAAGAGCACAAAGGGGCACAAGAATATTTTCAGGGGTAATGGAACTGTTTCATATATTGAGAGGGATGTGGGCTACACCAAGGTATCCACTCTCCACACTGTAAAACTAGTATTTCAATATTGAACATTTTCCTCAAAATACAAAGACCTGTATAAAGATAATCCTATAGGGGGACAAAGAGTGATGGAGATAACAGAAGAATGACAGAATTTTGATAATGGTTGTAGCTGGGTACTTAGGAGTACTCAACTTCACTTTAAATATTATTGAAATTCTCCATAAGGGAAGTTTAAAAAAAACTATAAATTAAAAAATACAATTATTACTTTTTGAAGAACAAATGAAAAGAAGCAAGTATGGAAGTAAAGAGAGCATGGTCTTAGAGTACAAAAAGGAAGAAAAGAGGAAAAATAACACAGCTTAACATAGGACAGTGGAAGAGATAAATGACCATATGGCACCCATTGGCTGATGATGAGGGAAAAGGCCAGTATCAAAAATGACTCCTAGTTTCTGGCCTAGGCAAATGGATGGAAGGTGGCACTTTTTATTCAGATGGAGAACAATTTAGAAGGAAAGATCAAGAGTTTATTTTTGGAGATGGTAGGTTCCAGGTGTCTATGACACATCCAAGTGGAGATTTCAAATAAGCAGATGAATATACTAGTCCAGAGTTTAGAAGAGAGATAGGGACTGGAGATAGTATCTGGGGGTTGCTGGCCAATATTTAAGATTGTAAACGTTAGTAATGCACTTAAGAATGCAGTATATAGTGTTATATAAGGGCTCTCTTGTTGCTATTATTATCAATTAATATAATCATCATCCATTTAAATAATATAAATGAGGACATCCTCATAATAAGCAAGTGTGATTTATATGGTAGACATGATTATCGCCCTTTATAGGAAAAAATATAAATAAAAAACAGGCTAACCTAGAACATGATAATGGCAGAATTAAAAGTAAGGTTTGACTACAAATTTACATTTCGCTAAAAATGTTACATCTATTAATCCCAAAACAGTGAACACAGAAATAATGGATAATTGACAAAGTCTCACCAATTTAATTTTCATTCTAAGTTGAACTAAGAAAATAACAATTATCTCTCAAATGTACCTTATCTCAAATTCAGAATGATTAACATACTGCTAATTCTATTTTAGCCTTCAACAAACTCCAAGATGATATATTATGCCCTAGATCAAAATATAATGTAAAACCTAGAGATGGAAATCTCTTAACATTTCCTTTAGTGCCAAAAATCATAAAATTATCTCTGAAGACAGTTATAATGACCAAGACCCTTTATAAGAAAAATTGTAAGGCTACTCATTTCTGTAATTAGTCCATTTCACAGAGAATTTAGGCATGATCATGAAAGGGCAAAAACTCCATTTTGCAGTTAATAAAATTCATACTAAAACTAGAATTAAAATTGCTGTTCTCAGTTGCTTCAGAGCCTTTTCTCATACATGATGAATACAATTTTGCTTAATATTACGTTAGTTTTACCTTAGAACTAAGTTATGAAAATAATAGTTGGTAGAAATGGACAAATTCCTAGAAAAATACAAGACTGACCAAAGAAGAAACAGAAAATCTAAACAGACAAATTACCAGCAACGAAACTAAATCAGTAATCAAAAAACTACCCAAGAACAAAACCCACAGGCCAGATGGATTCACTGCTAAATTTTATCAGACCTATAGAGAAGACATAATACCCATTCTCCTTAAAGTTTTCCAAAAAATAGAAGAGGAGGGAATACTCCCAAACTCATTCTATGAAGCCAGCATCACTCTAACACCAAAACCAGGGAAAGACACCACAGAAAATTAAAGACCAATATCCCTGACGAACATAGATGCAAAAATACTCAAAAAAAAAATTAGCAAACCGAATTCAAAAATACATTAAGAGGATCACCCACCATGATCAAGAGGGACTCATCTCAGGGATGCAAGGATGGCACAACATTCAAAAATCCATCAACATCATCCACCACATCAACAAAAAGAAAGACAAAAACCACATGATCATCTCCATAGATGCTGTAAAAGCATTTGACAAAATTCAACATCTATTCATGATAAAAACTCTTAACAAAATGGGTATAGAGGGCAAGTATCTCAACAAGGCCATATATGACAAACCCACAGCCAACATCATACTTAACAGTGAGAAGCTGAAAGCTTTTCACCTAAGATCAGGAACAAAACAGGGATGCCCACTCTCCCCACTGCTATTCAACAGAGTACTGGAGGTCCTAGCCACGGCAATCAGACAAAACAAAGAACTACAAGGCATCCAGATTGGTAAAGAAGAAGTCAAACTGCCACTATTTGCAAATGACATGATACTGTACATAAAAAACACTAAAGAATCCACTCCAGAAGTACTAGATCTAATATCTGAATTAAGCAAAGTTGCAGGATACAAAATTAATACACAGAAATCTATTGCATTCCTATATACTAACAATGAACTAGCAGAAAGAGAAATCAGGAAAACAATTCCATTTACAATTGCATAAAAAAGAATAAAATACCTAGGAATAAACTTAACCAAGGAAGTGAAAGACATACTCTGGAAACTGCAAGACACTCATGAGAGAAATTAAAGAAGAAATCAATAAATGGAAACACATCCTGTGCTCATGGCTAGGAAGAATTAATATTGTCAAAATGGCCATCCGGCCTAAAGCAATCTACAGATTCAATGCAATCCATACCAAAATACCAACAGCATTCTTCAATGAATTAAAGCAGATAGTTCTAAAATTCATATGGAACCACAAAAGACCCCAAACAGCCAAAGCAATCCTGAGAAGGAAGAACAATGCAGGGGGAATTACACTCCCTGACTTCAAGCTCTACTACAAAGCCACAGTAATCAAGACAATTTGGTACTGGCACAAGAACTTACCCATAGACCAATGGAACAGACTAGAGAGCCCAGATATAAACCCACGTATATATGGTCAATTAATATATGATAAAGGAGCCATGGATATACAAGGAGAAATGACAGCCTCTTCAACAGATGGTGTTGGCAAAACTGGACAGCTACATGCAAGAGAATGAAACTGGATTACTGTCTAAGCCCATACACAAAAGTAAACTCAAAATAGATCAAAGACCTGAATGTAAGTCATGAAACCATAAAACTCTTAGAAAAAAATAGGCAAAAATCTCTTGGACATAAACATGAGCAACTTCTTCATGAACATATCTCCCCAAGCAAGGGAAACAAAAGCAAAAATGAACAAGTGGGACTATATGAAGCTGAAAAGCTTCTGTACAGCAAAGGACATCATCAATAGAACAAAAATATATTCATAGTCCGATAAAGGATTGACAACCAAAATATGTAAAGAGCTCACGCACCTCAACAAACAAAAAAGAAATAATTCAATTAAAAATGGGCTGAAGGAGCTGAAAAGACACTTCTCCAAAGAAGAAATTCAGATGGCCGGCAGGCACATGAAAAGATGCTCCACATCGCTAATCATCAGAGAAATGCAAATTAAAACCACAATGAGATATCACCTCACACCAGTAAGGATGGCCACCATCCAAAAGACAAACAACAACAAATGCTGGTGAGGATGCGGAGAAACAGGAACCCTCCTACACTGCTGGGGGGAATGTAAATTAGTTCAACCATTGTGGACAGCAGTATGGAGGTTCCTCAAAAGACTAAAAATAGAAATACCATTTGACCCAGGAATTCCACTCCTAGGAATTTACCCTAAGAATGCAGCACCCAGTTTGAAAAATACATAGGCACCCCTATGTTTATTGCAGCACTATTTACAATAGCCAAGAAATGAAAGCAACCTAAGTGTCCATCAGTAGATGAATGGATAAAGAAGATGTGGCGCATATACACAATGGAATATTATTCAGCCATAAGAAGGAAACAAATCCTACCATTTGAAACAACATGGATGGAGCTAGAGGGTATTATGCTCAGCAAAATAAGCCAGGTGGAAAAAGAAAGGTACCAAATGATTTCACTCATATGTGGAGTATAAGAACAAAGAAAAAAACTGAAGAACAAAACAGCAGCAGACTCACAGAACCCAAGAATGGACTAACAGTTACCAAAGGGAAAGGGACTGGGGAGGATGGGTGGAGAGGGAGGGCAAGAGGGGAAAAGAGGCATTACGATTAGCAGACAATGTAGCGGGGATGCACGGGGAGGGCTGTACAGCACAGAGAAGACAAGTTGTGATTCTATAGCATCTTGCTACGCTGATGGATAGCGACTGTAATGGGGTATGTGGTGGGGACTTTATGATGGGGGGAGTCCAGTAATCATAATGTTACTCATGTAATTATAGATTAATGGTACCAAAAGAAAAAAAGAAAAAAGAAACTAATAGTTGGTAATGGAGAATAAGAAGGAAGAAAAGAAAATCCTACTGAGATCATTTTATGCACTGGGCACTACTCTAAGTCCTTTATTCATTTTCTGGCTACATACAATAATAACCTTATGAGGCAGGTATATTATTATTATTATTATTCTCCCAATATTTTACACATAAGGAAACTAAGTTAAGCAACCTTCCAAGGTTACAAAACAGTTAAGTTGGTAGATCTAGGACTCCAAATCCAACTCAATAGTAGGCACCCAGAACACAACTGCAGTATAAACTATCCCTGCCCACAAATAAATTAATTTATAAACTTCTTTTCTTATGAACAAAAAAATGTCACATTTTTACTTCTGAATTATTTTATTGGGATATTAAATGGACTTTCTCCTACTTTTTCAAAAGCTTTCTGAATATCATTTAAATTAAATTGACACAAAACTTCATGAGGTTCAAATCTCACTCTCCAATAGCATATGCATTATAAGAATAAGATTATGAGATATAATGGAATATACTTACTGGTAGATTTAGAAAATTATCTACAGTCCTGATCCTTGGTATGTTGGATACAGTATGATTTTCAAAAATGTTTTGTATAAAAATTGCTGTTTTATTAACAAGAGAGTAAAATAACTAAGAAACTCACGTGCACAGGATAACAAAAGAACAAGGGAATAATTGTTGGTACTGAAGACAGCATTTTAGTACTCGATCATCATTGTTCTCGTCACTGAGTCCATCTACAAATACAGAAAAAGGAACAATCAAAAGCACACTAAAAATCTAAATACTGTATGAATAATCTAGGCTGTGTATACAAATCAGAAACATCTAAAGGAAAGAAAATTTTAAATAAAAAGAGAAAGATAAGACATAGCAAAACAAGGCCGTAAAAATTCTGGATCTAGAATTCAGACATCATATGGTTGCAAGTTTGATAAAGTAGTTAGTTTGCTACTAAAATGGAACAGGATATGCCTATTAATAAACACAAAGGAAAGAAATATGATCAGTAGGGTAAATGCCGTACTAGAAACCAAGAGCTATGAATGCTTCTCAGTTCAGCCACTTAGAGATTTTAAGTAAATTATATGATTTCAACATGCTTAACATGATCTCAGTTTAAAAGAGGTCTATAAAACAATGAGCAACTGGAGGCGAAGCCAGGATGGCGGCGTGAGTAGAGCAGTGGAAATCTCCTCCCAAAAACACATAGAGCTATGAAAATATAACAAAGAAAACTCTTCCTAGAATAGAGACCAGAGGACACAGGACAACATCCAGATCACATCCACACCTTCAAGAACCCAGCGCCTTGCGAAAGGAGTAAGATACAAGCCCCGGCCCGGCGGGACCTGAGAGTCCATCCCCCTGGCTCCCGGCCGGTAGAAAGAAACCGGAGCGGTTTTTTTTTTGTTTGTTTGTTTTGGTGAGTGCTTTTTGGAAGCCTTAAAGAGACAGGGATCCCGTTGCTAGGGAGGCAGGGCGGCGGGACCGGTGAGTGGGTGCCTGGGACTGGCGCCAGAGGACAAAGATTCTTGGGCGTTTTTCGCTATGGGACCTGTGGGCGGGTGCCTGAGACCGGCGCCTGAGGACGGAGGAAATCGCGCGTTTTTCCCCTTCTTTTTTTTCTCTTTTTGGCGAGTGCTTTTTGGAAGCCTTAAAGGGACAGGGACCCCGTTGCTAGGGAGGCAGGGTGGCGGGACCAGTGAGCGGGTGCCTGGGACCGGCACCTGAGGACAAAGATTATCGCGCGTTTTTCCCTACGGGACCTGTGGGCGGGTGCCTGAGACTGGCGCCTGAGGACAGAGGAAATCGCGCGTTTTTCCCCTTTTTTTTTCTCTTTTTGGTGACTGCTTTGTGGAAGCCTTAAAGGGACAGGGACCCTGGTGCTAGGGAGGCAAAGCAGCAGGACCGGTGAGCGGGTGCCTGGGACCACCGCCTGAGAACAAAGAATATCGCACGTTTTTCCCTGCGGGACCGGTGGCCGGGTGCCTGAGACTGGCGCCTGAGGACGAAGGATATCACGCGTTTTACCCCATTTTTTTTCTCTTTTTGGCGAGTGCTTTTTGGAAGCCATAAAGGGACAGGGACCCCAGTGCTAGGGAGGGAGAGCAGCAGGACAGGTGAGCGGGTGCCTGGGACCGGCGCCTGAAGACAAGGAATATCGCGCATTTTTCCCTGCAGGACCGGTGGGTGGGTGCTTTTTGGAAGCCTTGAAGGGACACGGACCCCGGTGCTAGGGAGGCAGGGCAGTAGGACGAGTGAGCGGGTGCCTGGGACCAGCGCCTGAGGAAAAAAAAAAAAAAAACTTGTGTGTTTTTTCCTTTTTTTTTCTTTTTTTTTTCTGTTCCCTCTCTCATTGTTGCTGTTGTTGTTTTGGTTTGGAGAGTGCTTTTTGGAAGTCTTAAAGGGGCAGGACAGGTCACTTAGACCAGAGGCAGGGAATCTGGGGATCTCTGGGCACTCTAACCCCCTGGGCAACAGGGAGCACAGAGGCCCCTTACGGAGATAAATAGCCTCCCGGCCGCTCCCCCTCCAACGGGGCTCCACCACTTTGGAGGAGCAGCCCCAGCCAGGCCACGCCCACAGCAACAGCGGAGATAAACTCCATAGCAAACGGGCAGGTAGCAGAAGCCCTGTCTGCGCACAGCTGACAAGCATAAGCCACTAGAGGTCGCTATTCTCCCAGGAGAGGAAGGCCACAAACCAACAAGAAGGGAAGCTCTTCCAGCGGTCACTCGTACCAGCTCTGCAAACTATCTCTATCACCATGAAAAGGCAAAACTACAGGCAGACAAAGATCACAGAGACAACACCTGAGAAGGAGACAGACCTAACTAGTCCTCCTGAAAAAGAATTCAAAATAAAAATCATGAACATGCTGACAGAGATGCAGAAAAAAATGCAAGAGCAATGGGATGAGATGCAGAGAAAAATGCAAGAGCAGTGGGATGAGATGCAGAGAAAAATGCAAGAGCAGTGGGATGAAGTCCGGAAGGAGATCACAGATGTCAGGAAAGAGATCACAGAAGTGAAACAATCCCTGGAAGGATTTATAAGCAGAATGGATAAGATGCAAGAGGCCATTGAAGGAATAGAAGCCAGAGAACAGGAACGTATAGAAGCTGACATAGAGAGAGATAAAAGGATCTCCAGGAATGAAACAACACTAAGAGAAATATGTGACCAATACAAAAGGAAAAACATTCGTATTATAGGGATACCAGAAGAGGAAGAAAGAGGAAAAGGGATAGAAAGTGTCTTTGAAGAAATAATTGCTGAAAACTTCCCCAAACTGGGGGAGGAAATAATCGAACAGACCATGGAATTATACAGAACCCCCAACAGAAAGGATCCAAGGAGGACAACACCAAGACACATAATAATTAAAATGGCAAGGATCAAGGACAAGGAAAGAGTTTTAAAGGCAGCTAGAGAGAAAAAGGTCACCTATAAAGGAAAACCAATCAGGCTAACATCAGACTTCTCAACAGAAACCCTACAGGCCAGAAGAGAATGGCATGATATACTTAATGCAATGAAACAGAAGGGCCTTGAACCAAGGATACTGTATCCAGCACGACTATCATTTAAATATGATGGTGGGATCAAACAATTCCCAGACAAGCAAAAGCTGAGGGAATTTGCTTCCCACAAACCACCTCTACAGGGCATCCTACAGGGACTGCTCTAGATGGGAGCACCCCTAAAAAGAGCACAGAACAAAACACACAACATATGAAGAATGGAGGAGGAGGAATAAGAAGGGAGAGAAGAAAAGACTCTCCAGACAGTGTATATAACAGCTCAATAAGCGAGCTAAGTTAGGCAGTAAGATACTAAAGAAGCTAACCTTGAACCTTTGGTAACCACGAATCTAAAGCCTGCAATGGCAATAAGTACATATCTTTCAATAGTCACCCTAAATGTAAATGGACTTAATGCACCAATCAAAAGACATAGAGTAATAGAATGGATAAAAAAGCAAGACCCATCTATATGCTGCTTACAAGAAACTCACCTTAAACCCAAAGATAAGCATAGACTAAAAGTCAAGGGATGGAAAAACATATTTCAGGCAAACAACAGTGAGAAGAAAGCAGGGGTTGCAGTACTAATATCAGACAAAATAGACTTCAAAACAAAGAAAGTAACAAGAGATAAAGAAGGCCACTACATAATGATAAAGGGCTCAGTCCAACAAGAGGATATAACCATTCTAAATATATATGCACCCAATACAGGAGCACCAGCATATGTGAAGCAAATACTAACAGAACTAAAGAGGGAAATAGACTGCAATGCATTCATTGTAGGAGACTTCAACACACCACTCACCCCAAAGGATAGATCCACCGGGCAGAAAATAAGTAAAGACACACAGGCACTGAACAACACACTAGAACAGATGGACCTAATAGACATCTATAGAACTTTACATCCAAAAGCAACAGGATATACATTCTTCTCAAGTGCACATGGAACATTCTCCAGAATAGACCACATACTAGCTCACAAAAAGAGCCTCAGTAAATTCCACAATATTGAAATTCTACCAACCAATTTTTCAGACCACAAAGGTATGAAAGTAGAAATAAATTCTACAAAGAAAACAAAAAGGCTCACAAACACATGGAGGCTTAACAACATGCTACTAAATAATCAATGGATCAATGAACAAATCAAAATAGAGATCAAGGAATATATAGAAACAAATGACAACAACAACACTAAGCCCCAACTTCTGTGGGATGCAGCGAAAGCAGTCTTAAGAGGAAAGTATATAGCAATCCAGGCACACTTGAAGAAGGAAGAACAATCCCAAATGAATAGTCTAACATCACAATTATTAAAACTGGAAAAAGAAGAACAAATGAGGCCTAAAGTCAGCAGAAGGAGGGACATAATAAAGATCAGAGAAGAAATAAACAAAATTGAGAAGAATAAAACAATAGCAAAAATCAACGAAACCAAGAGCTGGTTCTTTGAGAAAATAAACAAAATAGATAAGCCTCTAGCCCAACTTATTAAGAGAAAAAGAGAGTCAACACAAATCAACATAATCAGAAATGAGAATGGAAAAATCACGACAGACTCCACAGAAATACAAAGAATTATTAAAGACTACTATGAAAACCTATATGCCAACAAGCTGGAAAACCTAGAAGAAATGGACAACTTCCTAGAAAAATACAACCTCCCAAGACTGACCAAGGAAGAAACACAAAAGTTAAACAAACCAATTACAAGCAAAGAAATTGAAACAGTAATCAAAAAACTACCCAAGAACAAAACCCCGGGGCCGGACGGATTTACCTCGGAATTTTATCAGACACACAGAGAAGACATAATACCCATTCTCCTTAAAGTGTTCCACAAAATAGAAGAAGAGGGAATACTCCCAAACTCATTCTATGAAGCCAACATCACCCTAATACCAAAACCAGGAAAAGACCCCACCAAAAAAGAAAATTACAGACCAATATCCCTGATGAATGTAGATGCAAAAATACTCAATAAAATATTAGCAAACAGAATTCAACAGTATATCAAAAGGATCATACACCATGACCAAGTGGGGTTCATCCCAGGGATGCAAGGATGGTACAACATTCGAAAATCCATCAACATCATCCACCACATCAACAAAAAGAAAGACAAAAACCACATGATCATCTCCATAGATGCTGAAAAAGCATTTGACAAAATTCAACATCCATTCATGATAAAAACTCTC